GAAACATTTCCTTTTTCTCTTTTACTTTCCTTTTCAGTTTTATTTTAGGATTCCCTATTTTTAATGTTCGTACAGATATTTCTTTAGCTGTCATACCAAATAGTTTCTCTGGTGTGAAAAACTATAATAGTACACAGGATCCTAATGAGATAATTAATAATGTGAAATAGGAAGTAAAGGGCTAAAGGTGTAGGGAAAGTGGGAAGGGTGGGGGAAAGGTAATAAGGGAGAGGAAAAAATATGAGAAATTGACAAAATGGAAATAAAGTATTTGTAAATGGGGAGGGGAGGAGGGGGTGAAGGGAGGCCAGGGACAAGGGGAAAAAATGAGAATCAAGATCTATTATGTAAAGGTACAGGATCCCAATGATGAATGTAACTGTATTGTATACCTAGATTGTACCAATAAAGTCAATAAAAAGAAAAAAATTAAAATTCAAGAATATGGAATTGGGACTAAAGAAAGATAAAACATGAAACAAAAGGAAGATGTTAGAACAGAATGTTAAATCTAAACTCTATGTTTATTATTTATACATAGTATTCAAATTATTGCATATGAATGTAGTTGTTCTTGCCTTATTTACTTATTTATCTTTGTATTTTATCCATGTTTTTGAGTTTAGCAAGATTCTCAACTTTTACAATCTTTAATTTTCTCAAGTATGTAATGACAATAATTGTGCTCTATCTTTAAGGTTATGATAATGCAGAAAAATATCAAAAGTCAAAATATAACACAACACATTAGCTAACACATAGATGTAACATGCTAATATTGTGAATACAACATTCATACTGTATAACACACAAATAATGGTTTCTAATGTCTCATGTGGTCTAGAAATTATCAAGGAGGTACATCTTATATTTCAAAACTAGTGTCTATATTAATGAATCCTTTTAAATGTGTAGCTTTTAAGCAAATTAAGTAAGCTCAACCACACACATTATAAGTTCAGAAATAATTTTTAAAAAGTTTCAAAACCACAAAAACAGGGGCAGGGGATTTAGCTCAGTTGTTCTGGTGCCTGGCTCACAAACACAGGACCTGAGTTCAATCCCCAGTACAACCCCCCACAAAAAAAAACCCCAAAAAACCCACAGAAACAGAATTTGAAATATAAAATTAACTACAGTAATTATGCTGATTATATATGCTTTTTCTTACATAGATTAATTTATATATGTATGTATTACTGTATATTTGTTTTCTAAATAATAATCAAAATTTTCATAAACCATTAAACCCATGATTTCTTGTTAAAAAATAACAAAAAAACTGATGTTATTTTATACTCATGAATTAATCTTATCATTTATGTAAATGTTATTGTTAGAACTAGAGTATTTATTAAGAATCCATAAAGATAAAAGTTTCTATATTTTGCCAAAATATAATTTATTAACAAGTTTAAGTTTTTAATTTTTAAACAAAATAGAACTACTTATCCTATTTAAAATAGTCTTTTGCATTACTATATATACAGCTAAAAATAAACTCACTGTCAACAGTTTAATTGAGCTATTTTTCCCTAGTAGACATTGTTAATAAAAAGCCACAACATATTAAGTAAAGTCATAGTTAAAATTGAAGATTGCATTTAGTAAAAAGGAGAGGTAACCCGATTAAAATTCATAATGAGTGATGCAAGCAGCCTTTCCCATATTCAGTGTTAAACTCTTTCTGAAGTTTAATTTTAAGAAATCATTCACAAGTAAGAAGCCATTGTTTACAAGGGTTTTTTTGTTTTGTTTTATTTTGTCTTTTCTTTTCAAATATCAGAGGACTGGGGAGTCAGCACAATGGTTCCACTGCCTATGTAGCAAGTGTAAGGTCCTGAGTTAGATCCCTGGAATTAAAAAAAAAATCAGTTAGAAAGATTGTTAGAGTCTATAGACAAGTTCAAATGGAAATGTTACCTTTGTTGCCTGCCTAGCTATGGTACCCATGAGCTCTATTTTTTTAGTCCAGCTATGGCCAGGAACATGTGAATAATTCTGACCCAAATGCAAAACCAAGTCACCAGCAGCAATAGAAAAAAAAAAAATCACGTGTTGGGGTCACGTATCAAGCATTCTTTGTGTCTTCTCTTGGCTTTACTAAATCATGAAACGTCTTCCAAAAATTCAAATTACCAATTTGAAAATGAACCGAGACCTCGAAATTCAGGTAAACTACTACAAACTGAAAAAAATTAAGTCTTCAAGTTGTCATTGGTCAGCTTCCCCATCATTGGGACAAGCCACGTGACATCTACAACTTGAAGGAAGGAAGGGTTATCTTTTGCCTATCCTTAGCTAGCTCCAGTGCAGGACTACCATGGTGTGAGAGCACGGAGAAACAAAGGGCCCACTTTACAGGAAATACACAACCCTGTGACACTTGTCCTTCAAATGGTCCTTCCCTCCTAATAAATAGCACACTGAGCTGTGAACATGAAGAGCTAGCACCCCTATCATCCCATTACCATTGCACAATTTCGGTTAACTGGTACACCTTGATAAGTATGACTCTATTTATGCTTAGGGAAACACCCCTTACATTAATTTGTACCTCAACCAGAGGTAACTAGCACTGTTGAGATGGTACCCCCCCAAAAAAATGCTAGTTGTTTGCATATCATCAAATGTTAGTTTTCATGCCATAATACTCCTTACTAAATACACCTAGTATTCTCTACAGCCCTTTTCCTGAGCTTCTGAGCAAGGGCACTGCCAGCTCCACATGCTTGGAGTGTTGCAGAAATAATGGTTATGATCCTCATGGAGTCACCAGCCAACAGTCAATGTGATGTGGGTAGCGATGCTCAGGTGTGTGCTAAGTCTCCTTGATCTAGCTAGCAGGACTACAGTTCTGCTGCCAACAGCAACAACCCACTGGCTGAAGCACACTTTTCCTAGCCGGTATTACCTGCCCTCTCTCTATTACCTCCTGAATTCCTCCAAGGGAAATTATTTGAACTGCAATCATTGTTTCCATTTCTACTTCTGGAGCAAACTACCCCTTAAAAAACCTATTAGTATCATGAATCCTTCTTTAATGTTTCCACTTACATTTGAATAGCAGTCCACTGATGCTATATGTCCTCAAATTACTCAAAACTTGACCTGTAAATCACACATCAAGTGCCACCTTTACATGTTACTCTGTTCATTAACTCCAAAATGTGATTTTCTTTTGTTTTCTCCAGCATTTAGAAAAAAAAATCATTTAATTATTTTGTTGAGCATGAGAGAAAGTAATTAACTTTTATTGGAGATATGTTTTATTTAAAAAAAAAGCAGAATCCTTAAAATCAGCTCATTGTAGCATAGTAAATTGTTCTTTCTTTTCAAAGTATGCATAGAATGAGACTAAGGGACCAGATTATTACAGAATTATTCTTATTCAAGCCCTGTGACCCCTGAGTGACACAGAAGGTTGAGTGTATGTTCCTTTCTGCGTGAGTGCTTCCATTGGAAAAAAAGCTTAGTGATTTGATCAAAGAGCTAAAATTGAAAGGTTTTCTTTTTTTTTATGTCTTTTTTTTCCTGATAGCTTTTCAACAGTAGAGGGAGCTTTTAGCTTATATGGAGCTGAAAGATATTTTGACTTTTCTTCTTTTTTTTTTTAAGAGAAAGAGAAACCGAACATTATGGATCTTTCAGAAATATATTTTACAGATATTAAGCAGTCTCTGATTCTATTTTTATGGTGACATGATGCCTTTTAACTTGTTACACTCTAGAAGTACACAAGCAAGAAAGAAGCCTCACTTATTGATAACTTTAATTTAGCTGAAGTAGTTTGGTCTCTTTTGTTGGCTTATTCAATATGATTTATAGTTTGGATCAGTCTGAGAATATTCCAGAGCTCTTAGAATTATATTCTTACTGTCAGATTTTCATGTGCTAAAAAGGAAAGAGACCATTAGCAAATGGTAGTGAAATTACCATTTAAATGACACAAATAGTATTCCCAAGATGAGGAAATAAATAAAATAAGTGTGAATAAGGATGACCTTCAAAGAATGATGACGAGAATAATGCATATACGCTGTGCGTGCATGATGAATTTAAAAGCTTTTTGAGTAAATGGTCAATTGACCTGAAGGAAAGCAATAATCATATAGAAATTTCCAAGACATTTCAATATACAATGGCTTTCTCTTTATAGATAATGATTTATTGTTTCCTTAACAACCTTGAAGTTTGAAATTGTATGTGAACACAAGTCACTGGAATTATATTCAGTAACATGATATAGACATGCAGACTGAAGAGGAGAGAACCTGCTGAGAAATCGTTTACTTGTCGGAAGCCACTTTCTCTTCTTGACTATTTTTGTGCCAAAAATTGCATAAAGCTTTGTTTAGCATCCCTCAGAAACAGCAGTCTTATTTCTGAAACTATTTATAAAGGCAGAAGCAAGGCTGAGTGAAAGTAGCACAGCTTTCAGCAGTGAAGTCTGGCTCATAAGGGAGAGACAGAGGCATGAATTGAGTATCTCCTGTGTCTCTGACTCTTTGATATGTTCTTTATATTTATTGTCCTTTGCTTTGACTTTCCAAACAACAGTACAATGCATCATAAATTCTGGTAATAGTATGGTCTGCAAATGGAGACTTTAGGTCAGAATTTCCAAACTGCCACTTTGAAAATCTGTAATCTTGGACAAGTCACTTAACCCTGCTAATGCTTCAGTTCTGAAAACTGAAAAAAAAAGGCAGGGGGGAATAGTATCAGTGCCCATACTAAAAGTACTATAATAATGATAATAACAGTCCATATATTATAGATTTATTGAGGATTGTAAATCTTTTTTTATTGGAAAAGTACCCACATTATTATCCAACAAATAATGACCACCAAATAGTGGAGGAGGGGTTGTTTGTTTTACATTATCACTGCACACTTAAAAGATATGTAGAGGATAATGAGGAACTTCTAATGGATAAATTATGTATTAAGATTTGAATCTGAAACTGTTATAACATGTATTCTTTGCTCTTGTATAGTCGTGATGCTATAAACTACCCAATATCCTGCAGATGAAGAGTCAATGGACAAATTTAATTGAAGGCCTGTGACATAAAAGACACCTGATGTATATTTGCACAGAACATGAATGCACAAGTGAGTGAATAATACCCCTGACTTTTGACTCTTGCTTCTAGCTCAGATGTATGAAAGCCAATTGAAGGAAAGCCTTTGATCTCCTTTGATAAGTCAGATGAGGGCTACCATCCATATCAACTCCAAGTTTATTTCAGGGATCTCAAATAGTACAAGTAGCCAGATAAAGGAAAGTACTTTAAAAACTATAAAACACCTCTGAGGTGTATACAAGGTGCTTCTGGCAGGTGTTACTGTGCATGTTGAAAAATAAAAGTCAGTTTGAATCATGCCATTTGTGGAATTTTGGTAAGAATCTAAATTCTCTAAACATCAGATTGCTCGTATCTCAAGAATAAATGAGTGTCATTGCTCACAACTTATCCTGAAAAATAAATGTGGCTGATGGCGCATGTAAAACACTCAGTTAATCCTCATCATTACAACTGTCAACACAAAAATGTATCTTGTATCTTGTATTGACTGGATGTTGCCGTTGCAAAGTTGGTGATATTACCAATGATACTGTTTTATCAGGGCTACTTTTAGATATTATTTCTTCAGAGAAATAATAAATATCACAATACATCCCTATGCCCCTGCTACAATGTCAAATGTTAATTTACATAATCTTTCCTTTCCTGATGTACCAGGAGCCCACTACAGGCAGAAATGATAAATGGGATGCAAGTTATTTAGCTGCCTTTTTGATTTAAGACATTTACTGCTTAAATATAGACAACAAAGATAATGATTGACTCAAAAGTAAGTTTTACATTCTTGACTTCTTTAATAATCTAATCTAAGGATACATTTTTGAAGAGCGCAAGAGCCACTCTTAGAAACTGAAGACTTCAAAGATTACCTCATTTAACCCTCCCATATGCCTATAAGAGTTGGATCCTAGCTATGTATTTCACATAGAAATTAAAGATTGGAATGACAGTCTTGACTCCCATTACTTCTAAACCACAAAGCTCTATGTCTTTATATAAACAGAGGGTTCCTAATGAAGGAAGAAAGTCATGCTTACACCTGTAGACTTAAAAATCAGGCATGATCTGATCTCCTCTCCTGTATTATTTTTTCAGATAGTTCGACCTTTTATTCTGCTTTGAACGTTTCTTCATTTGAACTACCATTTAACACCTATTTTGATCAACATTATGGAACATCACAAGTCATGCAACACAATGAGAAAACACTATAATGTAATGTTCTACCACAGGGAAGTAACATAAATACACATCATTTTGCTATCATATTCTGAAAGCTCAGACTGATCAAATGGTTTTGTACTTGTCTGATCAGAAATGGTTTCTAACAGAAAGTAGTATTGGAGCTGAGGTAATAAAGGCAACGAAAGTATGAAATGAAAGAAAATTATGAAGGAAGGGAGCACATTTAGTTTTATTAGGAAATTTGAACTCATGCTGGGGAGTGTGGAAGATGAAATATATAAACATATTTGGGATAAACAGGACATAGTTGTGATTTCCGAGTCCCGATTTGAGGATCTGTGTGTAAGAACTGACATTGTGCTGAGCAGGTTAAGTCTCACCCTCAGGACTGGAAATCGAATTTCCATTTGCTGGGAGTCCTGAGGGCAGACAGAGCTCAGATATCAGACTCCTTCCCAGCAACAGCCTTCACCCAGGGGCAGTCTGATTTGGCTCATAGGTGTGACTTCCTTATCTCAATTCAACATGACGCTGATAAATTACTTTAGCTGTTGTGAGTGTATGGAGCCGGACTTCTTTATGGCCCAGCACACTCTCTTGCCGTCCCTGGGAGTATTTCTGAACAAAGAAAACGCACTGGGCTTTCTCTGTGCTCTCAACGACACCCAGTATTGCTTGCATTACCTCAGATGCTAGGGCTTTCCCCAAACCAAACATCCTGCAATTACCTGCAAACACCACCTGGTGACATACAATTCAAATCGATTCTGCCATTACATACTTGAAAAGAGTGTCAAATCTCACAAGTTGTATGTGGAGTCCCACGGATTTTCCCCACTTCAGAGACTGTTGTCGAGTGGGGAATGCATGTAACTTAGTTGGTAGAGCACTCATCTAGCATGTTGAAGACCCTGGGTTCAATCCATAGCACAAAATACAAAACAAAACAACATATATCCAGAAACCCATTGCAGTTAAAATCATCACCAGTACTTGTAACTATAGGCTATAAATCAGAAGTTCCCCATGACTCACTTTTGGGTTGCATCATTAGCGTGAACGCTTCAAAGAACTAAGGGAATACTTCCATTTGTATCCACCTATTTATTAGAAAAGATGGAAATCAGAAGCAAGTATATGGAGATAGGCATAGGATGAAGCGTAGGGCTGTGGGAGCAGAGCTTCCGTGAATTCTCCAGTTGCATGGCCCTCCGAGCACACTTACTAGTTCACCAGCCTCACGTGCACTCCAAGCCACATCCTCTTGAGTTCATTAGGAAGCCTTGGTATGTAGATGTTAGTGATGAAATCACGGCCAGCTGATTCATGAGTAACTTAATCTCCTTCCCTCTTCCTAGCCCAGAAGGTCAGAATGTAGGGCTGAAACTCCCATCCCCTTATTCATCCAGCTGGAGGGGGACAGAGAACAACTACATATTTCTGTTTCTGTAGCTATGTAAATCCATTGAAAGGCAGGCACAGCCACAGCCAAAGAAGTTTGTTTGCAGTTTTAGGAAGTGCAAGTCAGGAGACACAAATTCAAATGACCTCTGATTTCATGTTCTGTGGAAGGCACAAGAATTTGTGAGCTTATGTGTGCAAACACTACCGGTTTGTTACAAAGTACTAACTATTCTTTTATAAGAATGGTAAATATTGAGAAGGAACAGGAACTACATGACTGATAGAAGATTCAGAAAAGAATATATAAATACTTAGTGAAAATGTCCATAAAGCTAGAGTTTGATAGCATCTGGACACTCGCCTGGAGTCTCTGAACAACATGTAATTATCTGGACATCCTAGCAGTTCCATCTGTCTGCAGGCAGAGTGGAGCTAAACCAAGTTCACACTCCCAGGCAGCACCTTCAGATGTGCCTTAGTCCTGCTTACTGACGCCCTTCCGATTCCTTTGGAATCTTCCTTCAATCGTGCACTCGATATGTGTTTTGCTTATTTGTGATGCACGGCAGCAAACTCAGGCCCCTGCACATGTGGAGAGTACTCTACTCTACCCTTTGGTTAAGAGTGTACTTTATCACAGGGTCTCACTAAGTTGCCCAGGCTGTCTTTCTCTCCACCTGTCACCGCCTTAATCTCCTCTGTCACTAGGGTTCCAAGGGTTTACAGTATCTCCTGGTTCATTGTGAGTTTCTTTACATTTTCACATTCCGTGTACACTAATCCTCGTTTTACAGTCTACTTGCTTGCGAATCTGAATTTGAATAGTTGCAGTCCATGAAGAACTGGGGAATTATAAAATATTCATTTTTCATTAAATTTTTATTTGTACACGTTTGCAGTTCTTGATGATTACCTTCCTTGCAGGAAGTTGGTACACGAACGTAACAACCAACTTTTTTCTTCCTTCCCTTCCTCTTGTCTCCCTCTCCACTTCCTCCTTCTCTTCCTTCCCTTTTGCAAAAGAGCTGCCTCCCTGTTTCCTATTATCTGTCCTTTGCTCTGCTCTTTGTTTTTATTTTGGGTTTCTTATAAAAGAGAAACCATAAGATAGTTAAGCTCGTGTGTCTTATTTATCTCACTTAACTTATGGTCTCAAGGTGCATCCGTTTTCCTAAAAATGACTCAAGTGTGTCATTCCTTATGGTACATTGATAGTCCACTGTGTATAAAGGGCACATTTTATGAATCCATTTAGCTGTTCACGAACGCATAGTTTACTTCCAAGATTTAGCTCTTATGAGTTGTGCTGCTACAAACGGATCTGCATGTATCACTCTAATAAGATGTCTTTAACTTTCAGGAAGAAAATATTTTTATGCTTAAAGTAAAACAGTCTAGCAAAAAATCTAATGCTTGTATTTCAAGATGGTGAATTACCAGGCTGGGAATTTAGCTCAGTGGCACTGGGCCTGCCTCTCAAGCGCAAGGCCCTGAATTTGATCCCCTGTATCAAAAAATAAATAAATAAATAAAAGGTTAATGCACATCTATCTTTCCAAAGCTTGAACAGAATGATGTAAAAGTAATACTTCCATACTGTCAACCAAAAACACACACACACCCACAAAAAAGAAAAGAAAAATAAAAAAAGAATAAAAGGGAACCATCAGTGGAATTGAAAGATTTTTTTTCTGCAAAGTTCTGCAAAACAGAAAGAAAATGGAAGCTAGCTTTCATGAAAATTATGAAAAAATATAAACGTCAAAATGAAGTAATTCATATCAAACCCTGACAAACTAGAAGCAGAAAAACATAAGCAAGAACTGGTCATTGAGTCCTGACAAAACTTATTTCAAGAAATTCCTGTGCATCCTGCATGTCCTATACACCCACCACGTACCCTGATACAGGGCTTATTATGAGGAATGCTTTTGGCTGCAGTATTTCATGTAATCCAGCCTTACAAGGACAAGTGCCTAACGAGGTCTTTTCCCACTGATGTTCACAGGCTGATTGTTGTAATGAGCTTCTGTGACCAATGAACTTCATTTCAAGGTAATTTAGTTGGACTTCTTTTGTTTTTATTTCAAAATTTCTCCTTTTCCCCACTCTCTTGGAATTGTCTATACTTCTTACATTGTGCATGTAGCCAAATGCAACCCCCTTTGTTATTACCAAATAAAATATGTTGCTCTCTGATAAAGGCCTTCCCTTGATTTTTACTATTGTTACTGTTTCAGGTTTATGACAACTAATAGAGAGAGCTCAAAATACGGCCAGAGAGGGCTACTGTAATGGAGAAGGCAAAATGGTAAAATAGCAGGAACAAATGAAATGCTTCTCCCAATTCATTTTATGTGTTAGAAGTGAAAGAGATGAATACAAAGCTTACAGTGCCTTTTATTAATTGTGAGAAGGGAAAGGGAAGAGGTTTAATATATGTAAACTCAGTTCTTGTCTTTCCTAACAGAGCATCAAGAGATAAAATAAATCAATTATTTTAGGAAAGACTCAGTGTGAAATCTCTAAATATGGAGTTGTTTCCCAAAAAGCAACAGTTTAATAAAATGAACTTGGAGTGGGACATGCAGGGGCGACTTTCTTTTATGATTTGCTCCTCCGAATTGTCTTTTATTATTTATTCTTATCTTTTTTATCCTATATTCTTAAGATAATACTTAGAATAAGGGACGTGTTAAATGAATAGAAGGGATGAGGAGGGAAAGCAAGCATATAATTAAAGAATTAGGATTCTATTGAAAGCTCAGATTGTGATGGTAATGGAAAACATAGCAAACATCCTCAATATTAGTTTTCCATGTTTCAAGTAGTATAAGAATAAATAGTAGTCAGCAGATCACTTGGTCAAAGAGATCATTGTTTTTCAGTGTTTAGATCCATGTATGATATATTCTAAAATATATTCAGTAAAGTGCTATAAAGGTAAGAAGAAATTCTACTATTTAAAGAAAGAATATCATGAAAAATTATTTATTTTGCTTCCTGTTCATCTGGCTCCTTCCCTGTTCATATGAAAAAACTGATGCAACTTGAAATAGGAAGAAAAGGGCTAAAGGAGTAGGGAACGTGGGAAGGGTAGGTGAAAGGTAATAAGGGAAAGGAAAAAAATAGGAGAAAATTAAAAAATGGAAATACAATGTTTGCAAATGGTTGGAGAGGAGGGGGTAAAGGGAGGGCGGGGACAAGGGGAAACAATGAGAACCAAGACCTGTCATGTAAAGGTACAAGATCCCAATAATGAATGTAACTGTGCTATATACCTAAAATGTACCATTAAACTCAATGAGGAAAAAAATTGTAAAGGTTTGTTATAGAAATACAAAATAAACACACAGAATACATTTTTAGAAAAATTTCTAACAATGTTCTTGCCAGCCAAATGCTAGAGACAGAGAGGATGTAAACATTGAATTAATCTCATGGAAATCTTTAACAAGGGTAGAGAGAGAGAGGGGGAAAAAAAAGAAAAACTCTCAGAGACCAGTGAAAGGGTAACATAAGGAACTGAAAAGTGTAGAGAGCATATTGAGGTCATGGCCGTAAAGGGACCTCAAGGCCAAAGTAGAAGAATTTCCCTTTCACATAGAGCACATAGTTTCCTATCAAACACTGACTGTAGATCACCAGGGACTCTCAAGACAAAGACTGTCTCCCATGAAGTGAAACTGTCTGTGTTACCATTAAAATTAACTTGTGCAAGTAGACATTTTTGCCTGCAACTAAAGGCTATTCTTAAGCATCCCCAAAGCATAAAGAGTGCTAGACTTCTCCAGGAACTGTGAAAGGATGTACACTGGGAGGAAGGAAGAAGGCACAGGATCACATGGGATTGCTATAATGAGCCGTTTAGCTGTGAGTCATACAATGGCAAATCATCTCTATATTCACGTGTCTATAAACGCTATTTTGCTCAAAATAAGTGAATTGAGAGGAAAAGGCAGTTTTTTTATAGCAACCTTGGGTCCTCATATAGAACAAGGTCTGCAGTTGATTCACATCGACATTTTTTAACTTAAGAGCAGTCAACTTTTTAATTTAAAACTTGTAGACTGTAGACTAGAAATATCCCATTATATTTCTGGAAGATTTTTCTAAACGCAGATATAGAAGGTGAGTATAAATACATGTAAAAAGCACTGGTATAAAGAAAACTATCTCTCACTCTTTCTCACTAGCTTTACTTAGAATTTCTCTCTGTGAGAACAGGAAATTCTCTTCACACATAAAAATATCAAAGCTAGAAAGAACATACAAACTGGCTTGCCACAGTCTCTAAAATATTTCAAAACTTTTGTCCGTCTCTTTTTTTTCCTTTCTTTAGATAGTCGCTTTCTTGTTGTTTCATTTTTTAGTCCTTCTTCGATTTATATTTGAAAGGCTAGCCAAAAATGAATGCATTTGAAACCTAAATACCTGTGCAGTAAACTGTGCTCACAAAAGTGACTGAAGTTGTTTGAATTCCAACTTCATGCTGCTGCTAGAAGCTCAATGTTGCCATTTCTCATCTAATATCATCTCCCAAAAGCTCCATGAAGTTATCGGAAATGACTCTGAGGAAACCATCTTCTAGTGAACCCGTGGGCCTTTGAACATACCTAAGTCTTATCCAGGAAAGCTAAATCATATTTTATATGTATACAAATAAAACTGTCTTTTAACTCATCTCCAGCTTCTGCCTCTACCTATTAGAGAAGACATATGCAGTATTTTTAAATTACATGATATTTTGGACTCAGGCCTACATTAAAATAGTGGCTTTAACACCCCCTTACGTATGACTATTGAACATTTTATAATACTTTCCTACTTTATAAATTGTGTAAGATACAATTAATACATTGAGACTATTTAAAATATTTAACACACACTTGCCTTTCAATGAATGTTTGACTTTTATTCTCTGAATGACAAAGACGCAGCACAGAGTAACTCCAATAAAGGGCAGTACTTATGATTAAGCTTTTGTAACATTACAGAAAGTTTGTCTAAATGCCTTCCTTTCACTATGTTCTCCCTTACTATGTTAATTGGTACTTACTTTTAAAGATTCAGCTCTGATTCCATTCATAGAAATATGATTCTAATATTTTTCTTCTAAAATGTCTGGATAGCCCTAGAAGGGACTGAGTTCTCTTGTCTTTGTCTCACATGGTACCTTGAGCTTGTTACTGTTAACGGTAGTTAAGACAATGTAATTGTATTTTGCATGCATATTTATCAACTGTAGGTAAAGATGGCCTCTCAATTATATTCATATTCCTTATCTGACATTATTCATAGTCAATAAAAATTGAAATAAGCAAAAAAAAACAAAAACAAAAACAAAAATAAAACTGTTTCTTGGTATCTCCTTAGCACTTAATAGAAAGGCATATGACAATTCTCAACTGTTCCATATATTCAAAAAAAAAGTAAATAAGGTTAAAATGTTTGCATTGTTATGTAGCTTTATTGAAAAAATTTAATGGGAAAATTTTAAGATGAAAAGAAGGCTTTATTTCAGTTAAGCACTTTGTAAACTTGGAAGATTCAGTCTTTGGTATAAAGTCAAGGTGCATTTTTTTTTTTAATTTTAAAAGAATGAAGGTCATGCTGTACACTTAAAACTCACTTATGATTTTATGTTTCATTTTAATGTCTTAGATATTAGGAGCTAATGTATCACACATGGAAATTCAAGTCATGACACATTAGAAATTATCAAGTACTATGGAAGAAATTTGGCCTCTGGATAATCCATTAATGTTGATAACCTAGTGATTTCCTTTGATATATCATAGAATTAAAATGAATGTTATAGTGTATTATCCTAACCATAATACTTTATCATTCTACCATAAAAGTTTTAATTATACTGAGATAAGAATTTTAACTCTAAAATTACTGCAGGAATATATTTAATCGGATAATGATATAGTTAACTATTTAAAATTAACAATGAATAATTGTTTTCAGATACTTGGATAGATACAGTTTTCAGGGGGAAATAATGCAGGTCTTACTATATAAAACTTTGCTGAAGAAGTGATGGCCATCAGATGAGTGCTAATATTATTCCATCACAAATAAGACTTTGATCAAAAATTAAATTGCAGTCATTTTATGGTAATTCCGGTGTCTGTTTATTAAATATTGTACAAACAACATTATTTTCTAGACACATACACTCCCTCTATATGTGAAGGTTTCAGGGTTTAGATTACATTCTTCCCAAGGAAATCAATATTACAAATATGTAGATCATTTTATTCACCGTAGCTGCCAAGGTCAATTAGAATTGGACCAGAATAAATACCAGACACTTCTTTTCTTAAGGTGACAATTGTTTAAACTGATCTCGTTCTGAAGTAAATCTACTTTAATCCACTGATTTAATGCTGCCAACTTTACAAAGACACGGGTAAAGAACTGAACCAGGGCCAGAAAGTTAATGGGAAAAGAGATTTTAAGGAATCTCTGTTACGAATAGGTAAAATATTCAGTTTCTTGGGCAGTTGACAGTTCAACACAAAATGATAAGAGAAGACAAAATGGAAGTGATTCAAAAGAACCATCACCTAAGTATATCCTCTGCAGCATTAAGTCATCAAAGTTTGAAGCACGGAAGTTATTGCGAGAGTCACATTTAGTCACACTGTATAACGCATCAATAAATGGTTTGAGTTCTGTCTTCACAGTCTCTCTCCATTTGTCTCCAAAGCATAAATTTAGAGGTGTCTAAAATGTCTTTGAGAGAAGAAACTCCACATATATTTTGTTTACCCCCGATAATGTTCCTGGATCCAGAGTGATATTTCTAATGGAAATATGCATATTTCACATCATGCTTTCTGCTTAAAAGCATAGAAAAAACTTCCTATTACTCTTACATAGCAATTCTAAGTGTTTATCTTCTTATATGAGGCCATGAATAATATGACCTCGCCTCTCTTTACAGTTCAAACCCGTGGTATTTTTTCTCATCAATGTTAATTTTATTTTTTGAAATTTCTTTCAAACGTGATGCCCATCAAAAGCACTTGAACATTTCCTTCACTTACTTCAGATGCTCTCATTTATAATATTTTTGGCCGAGTAGTATCATATAGAGCTCTCAGCTCTATTGCTGTTTGCTCTTTGACCATTTTCTTGAACTCTAGCATGATTATGTATTTTTTAGCACCAAGGAGTTTCCTTTAATTGTACTGTTAAAATTATGTATTTGTAGGCTCGCTTGTGCATTTGTATGATTGACACCACCCACTGCTCTAGTAAACTTTGACCTCAATGAAAAAAGACATCATATTTATTTTTCCCAAAAGTGTGGTCTTAGTTACTTTTCTCATGTTGCTGAGACAAAATACCCATCCCTAGAGGTTAAAAGCGGAAAGCTTTATTTAGCTCACAGTTTTGTAGAGGTTTCAGTCCGTAGTTGGCTGGCTCCAAGTCAGACATGGCAGAGAAGCATGGCAGAGGAGAAACAGTTCATTGCACACACAAAACAGAAAAAGCAACAAGAGACCTTCACAGCATCTCCCTGCCCCTGTTATTTTTCCAGAATACTTAGGGCAAGTAGCACTCACACCCTTAATTCTAGTGCACTTGAGCCTAGCGTTGCACTATGAATCAAATTCAGCCACCTCTGGAAAACCCCCACCTATGACTGTATAAGGGTTTGGGGGACATGTAAACACAAATAATAACAAGTGTATGTTTAATACTTTGTATGATTCCAAGCGTATAATACCCCTCCAAGTGACTAAATCAGTGACTGAGTGAATAAATAAATTAATGTTCTAGAAATTGGGGTTAAATTAATAAAAGTGGATATAACTGTTCCAGGCCCACGATGAAAGCTGCAGACACTGAGGCTCAGGTTATTGTTTCATGCTCTGCCATCTGACAAGAGAACCTCTACCTGAATATTCAAGATCCCACAATACAGACATATGCGAAGCCAATCCACAGCTTTGATTTCAGACAACGGATCTGGAATGAGCCGAATCAATCAAGAACTGACTCACACATATGTGAATGGGAAAAAAATCCTTACTCTAAGCTATTCAGTGTTTTAAATGTTTGCAGTAATGTTACACATAAGTTCCTAATGAGCAAATATGTCACTGTAGAAATTAAGGCCATCTGTTGAAATTATGCAGTGGTTATGTACATCTATGTGACATGTAAATTATGTGCACACCATTATGTATTAAAATGTATTTTACTAATAAGTGATATATAAAATGTAATTATATATGATTTATAAATACAATAAAATATTTAAACATATGTATTTGAATACTCCTTACATGTAAGTATAGCACATAATATTGACATCTAACTATCTTTACTCTTTGCTTTCTAAACAACAGGAATCTCTAATACTCATTCAAAATTCTTGAAGTTTTAAAATTAAAATGAGTTGAATTCATCCACGCTTAAGATGTTTTCCTTATTTTAAGTTTCATACTTTCTTGACATTAACCAATCATACTAAACTGAGTGATATTTTATTGTTTGTATCTAAACTTACTCCCTGGAAGGAAATGAGCCTTAGATTCTTTGAAATTTGTGGTTTCTGCTAAATCACATTCCTGTGTTGGGAAGAGAAATGTTTATAAGACTTAAAAATAAGGACATATTTTGTTTTCACCTGTTCCTAAAAATTGAAGTGTAATTGGAATAAAAATTTATATTCAACAGCACTCCTGCACTGCCTTGGTGAATTGCTCTGACTTTCTCTATGGCTGATTAAGTAGTGGTTACCTGCAGGGTGGACATTCTCATGAGTGGTAAGACAGAGTCTATTGCTAGAATCACATGCTGGTGCTCACAGGCAAAGCTGCATTATAGTAATACATAAGAGTCATCTTTTTAAAAATAAAATATATAGATTCCAAATATTCCAATAAGGCATGTTCAGTTAGACTTTTTTCAGACTACTTTAAAATTCAACAAAAATTAATGATCACTGCACTACTATTGTCCTTTGGGAGTAGAATTTAAGTGTCTGATGATTCTTAAAAGATGCTGATGTTCAGACCCACCCAACCAAGTTTGGTCATGGGGCCTATGCGGATATGTTTTATTTTTATTTTTTAACCAGGATGGCAAATTTTATTGTGCAATTTAAAAACAGAAAGCCAGGATTTCAGTATGTATTAAGTTCCATTGACATTTCTGCTTCAGATAAAGAGTTTCACTTCCTCAGCTTTAGATCTCTCTCTCTGCATGAAGATTCAGAGTCACAAAAGACAAAGGGACAATATTCACTTTGCTCATCTTTTTGGGACCAACTGCTCTAGAAGACAGAAGATATAGTAATGTACAGCAATAAGTAGTATTGAAATCTACTTGTAACTTGTAAATTAGACGCCATCCTTTATATTTTGTAAGGAAAGGTACTAATTTAATTTTCATAAAACATTTGCTTGTCATATCTAGTCTTCCAGGTAAGATTTGGGTTATAAATACAAAGTCAAATGAATTCTTCCTAACTAAAACCATCCCTTCAAAGAGATAAAGTAATGTTCAAGTCTAATATCAAAGAAGAATATGCACATAAAGATGAATTCAAAAACCCCAGTTGGCTCTGTAGGTTGTAACAGCAATGCTTGGTAGTTAATAGTGCAGCAGTCTAATAGTCCCATATCTGGTCATAAGCCCTCCAATGATAAGAGAAAAATGAAAAAAAGGCCAAAAATCAGTGAATCCAAGTCATCCAAGTGTTAACATATTATGGATTGCTATTCCAGTGTGCCCTAAACGGAAGCAGTCCACTCTGAAGCATCCCTGGAGAAAATCAGGAGGCCATGAAGTGGTGTCCAGTATAAACTATGCAATATTTATTATCTCATAGGAAGGTCCTAGGACCAGCACAGATGGCTCCACGGAGGGCCCAGGACTGATATGTGCTGCACCTCGTTGTAGGCCTAACCACTCAACTGGGCCAATCGTACCTAAGTTCCTGGGCTGCAGTTTCATTCCCAACATAATCCAGTGGGTCTTCACATTCTGTGCATTCATCAGGCCACGTAACCACTCAGAACCACCTTGCTGGGAAACGGTGGAGATGTGGTGTCAACTCCAAAGCCAGATCTGCTCTTTGCACCCAAGTCATGTTTTGTCAGGCCTTTTTGCAGAATCCCTGGCACAGACACCTATTAAAAAGCTTCAAAATGAATTTTAAAATATGTTCAGATTAAACAAATCTTGACACTGGTCAAATTCCTTTCAATGAAACTGTGCAAACTGAAGCCTAGAAAAGTAAAATGAGTTCTAAAAGGCAACCAAGGAAGGCAGATTAATTTGTTAGCACAAATAGCACAGTATTTTCTCTAATACAGTGGGAAAGGCCTTTTCTATAATACAGGGTGAAAAGTATTCTGTCAATTAGCACCATTTTTCTGTATAATTTTGTTTGTCCTGATCAGCTAATATCAGATCAACATTTAAGTTCAATTTTATAAAAGAGCTAGACATGTCCTCTCCTATTTCATATTTTTCATCGGTGTCTTTAATTTGAGAAGAGTAACTTGTCTTGGAAAATTTAAAATTTAAATTGTGTCACATTTAACTATGATGTGAGACCTTCTAATGATGTAGTCTGCACTCCGCTCTTCCACTGGAAACAAATCAGGATTTTGTTTTTATATTCACTAGGAACATTGTTCCTCATAATAACTGATCATTTAAAAACATTTCTGCTATACGTATTTCATATATGCTGAGGATTATGGGGAGAACAAATGAAGATGGCGGAGAACTGAAAACAGTGTAAAGAGAGTAGGACTGTTTACCAGTGCAAAGGAACAAAATGTTGTCCAACAACAGTACATGGAAATGTTGCAGAATTCCGAGGGACAAGAGAGAGACCAATGGCAATCAGGAGGATTCATTTAGGTTTTAGGTGAACACTGGCTCAATGGACTCCTGTCCAGAAGAAGAGCCCTGCACAAAAAACAGTTTCAGTTTTTACGAAGTTGGTCAACATGGAGGTGGTCTTTCTGGGTGGGGGTAGAGGAGACTACAGGAGCCAACAAAAAGCAAGTTAGTTATGTCTCACAGGATAGCAGTTTGCTCCTTGTGAAAGCTGTGAGAGCAGGACATCATAAACTTTGTTTATAAGACATACTAGCCAAGCTGATCTGTACCACAACGAGTTACAGCTACTGGGGAGAAGTGGAGGATCCAAGGATGACGGGCTGACCAAGACTGAGAAAGACTTATTTTCCCCTAAGTCCTGCCTCAGAACTATGTGTAGAAAATAAACCTAAGTAGGGCCAGGTTTTAGCTCAGTGGTTCTGGCACCTGCCTCACAAGCACAAGGACCCGAGTTCGATCCCCGGTACAAAAAAACAAACAAACAAACAAACAAACAAAAAACAAACAGAAAAGAAAATAAACCTAAGTAAACATTGAAGAGAAATCTGTATTAGTACATTATTTTCCTTGTTAGTTAACCTATTCTAGAAGAACAGAGCTATAATAGGTAATAAATTCAATAATTGTAATAGATTCACCAATTCCTGTCACAATTCATGCCTATCCTGATATAGTCACAAGTGTAGCATAGAGCTGAACATGACATATATTTTATCTAGAAAAAAGTAGAAAATACTGGAATGAAGCATCCAAAATTAACTGTTATACTTTCAAAGTTTTTCTTTTACTTTCAAAAGAAAAATGCATTTTAAATCAATGTTGCATATTTCAATGTTTTATTTGAAAATTTGTAGACTTTGTATGTTCTATTCTATGCCTGCACTTGTCACAAGAGGGAGTATAGACACTGATATCATTGGACAGTGAAGATCTCTACTAAAATTAAAGTGCTTACTGGGGAAAAGCAGCTATTTGCATCATTGGACAAATAGACTATTTTATTAAAGATGATTATGCTAATAATACCATTTAAATTTAATGTTATCTGAGTCATTTGACTGGAAGACTCAAAAGTGGCCAAAAGATCACTACTTTTCTTGCTATTTTCACATCTATCTCTGGGACAGCAGATGTGTTAATGCCCATTTCACTGCAACAAGGTCATTTTTAATGAACGGGAGTTAATTAGGCCCAAATGTATTTCTTTTGGTGCAAATGGTGTTATTGCAATTGCATAGTCTCAGACTGTTGAGCATAGACAGAAAAAAAATTAAAACTACTCACTACCAATGTCAATCTAGTACTTTTAATAAAAAGAAATTCCAGTGTGAATAAAGAAAAAGAGAAATGTCTAGAAATGATTCAAGGAGAAAGAGGAAAAGAAACTTTTAGAATGAGCATAATAAAGCTGTAAAGTAGAAACAGAATATGGAATGAAATGATTATAGAAGTCAATTAAATGTGATTATTAAACAAAAAGTGTCACTGGTAGAAATTTTTGATATACTGACAATACACATATAATGATAGAAAAGAAACATTTTGATGGACTGGGCTAGTCTAAATTGTAGAAAAAACCTTTACAACATTTATTTTTACCATTTGTCTATTGATAAAAAGTTAGCAAAACTTTATTCTGTTTCTCCTAACAATGAATCATTTTTTTCAGCTGAAGTGGCTTCAGATTGATGGTCCTGCTTGCAAAAAGAATGTGTTGAACTGTTACTATGGAATAAGGAAACAGAGGGAATGAACATTCTTTTCATATAATAATAGATGTAAAACCATGAATTGGTTTCTTACTGCAAATTGAACCATAAGAAATTATTCTTTCTATATGAAAATTGTCAGTTATGCGCAATGCTTGATGTCTCAGCACATATGAAGGGATAGTTGTACTTGAGAACAATACTGGTGCAGAAAGAAGTACCTACATCATGGAATTCAATTAAATAAAGATATCTGCATATGTCTTGAAAAATGATTTCATAGTAGCACCTCTATAAGCAGAAGTCTTGAGTAACTCTTCATCCTAGCTAACTCTACTGACTTATGATTTAGCAAAGTCCCATCAATTCTCATTTTACTTTAAATCAGAACCTGAAACACTCACCTCCTCTTTTTCTTACATGAGGTTCCATGAATCATTTTCAAGTAACTGCCCTAGCACTGTGGTCACACGGTCTTTTGCCTTCAAACACAGCTTCGCTTTCGCTCTTCTCAGTTCTCTGTGAAATTTTACCTGTGGATTTTGGAACGCTGATGTTTTCCGTATCCGAACCAAAAAAGATTTCAATAAGTCTTCTTTTA